TGACTCGGTGGCTCACACTTGTAATCCTAGCACTTTGGGAGGCCAAGGCGGGTGGATTACCTGAGCCAGAGCTCAGTTCGAGGCCACCCTGGGGACAACATAGTGAGGTCTCATCTGTACTAACACACAAAAAATTAGCCAGGCTTGGTGGTGCACACCTGTAATCCCAACTACTCAGGAGGCTGATGCAGGAGAATAGCTTGACCCCAGGAGGTAGAGGCTGCAGTTACCCAAGACTCTACCACTATACTCCAGCCTGGGCCACAGAGCAAGGCTCTGAAAAAAAAAAAAAAGATACCGGAAGAAAAGGAATTACTGAAGCATTTCCTAGCCTTCAGTAATTTATCATGTTTTTCATTCTAAATGTTTATTTTTGGATCTAATTGTATGGTTAAGCTTCAGGCTCCCAAAACCCAGATCCAACCCTGATCAGAGATGTATGTGGTTTTGCTCTTTATCTCTATACCATACTGTGTTCTTGCTGGATGTATTTAAGCTATTCAAATTCCCTTTAAAGGAGTGGAGAGCATACTCAAATTGACAGACTTGTAGTTTTTCTAACTACATTTAGTAAGGAGAAAGGGTCTGATGAATTCTTAGTGGGTGCAACGTCAAGTTTAAAAAGCCTTGCAAATAAACTTCCCCTCTAGGTGAGTAGTGGGATTTAATGTTTTGTTTTGTTTTTTATAATAAATGAACCTCCTGGAAAAGTGTAAACTGGTAATATATTTTTGTGGTCTATTACATTTGAATCTTTGATTTGCAAGTGGTTTCAAAATAATTTTACTTGCAGAGCATGGCTGCTGAAGCAAAATAGAATCCAAACAGCCTTCATAGGTTTTGCCATCATAGATTATCCAAAGGAAAGAATGAAACATCAAAATGTCCACTCAGTGGCTTCTTGTCCTTAAGAATCCTAGGGAGAATCAGATCATCTGAAATAGAAACTCTGCTATTTTTATACCCAACTGCAAATTGGGAAGTCGCCAGGTTTTTCATCTCAGCAATCCTAGGAACTGGATCTAGAATTTGTTTATACTTCAGGCTCTGGAGAAAGGTGCATTCTGAATCCTTTCAGCTTTTGGTGCTTTTCCTTTCCCAGAAGAACTTTGAAATTTTTTGTCTCATTCAACCTAGAAAGAGAAGGTGGCAGGGGACAAAGTTGGCAAGAACCTCACTCATTGGGGCATCACTAGTATTAACTGAATGGATGAGACATGTTGGTTAGTCAACAACGCCAGATCTTGCTATGTTTGTTTTCAATTCAAAGCAATGACTAGGCACTCCCCAGAAAAGGAGCTGGGTGCTGCCACTTTGGATATAACTCCATATTCACCTCCTTGGCAGCAGGAAATGCCCAAATCAAAAATTATGCATCAACTTTTCAAATTACCATATGGTTGCTAGATGCAAGACTCCAGGAACATTATGCACACATACATACTCTCTTCAGACACAGAGGCCACTAATCTATCATGGAGAGGAATATTAGGAAGTCTCCTCTTGGCCACCAACCCTTTCCCTTTATGGCCTATTCCTTACTTTTGATAGGTGAGAAAAAAGAGGCCCAAGGGAATAATGGTATGACTCAAGAACAAGAGGGTTATTCTCAGTTTCCAATATGTTCTTGTGCATGTATGTATGCGCACACACATACACACACATAAACAAAAGTCATCTTCAAAATGTAATTAGGGAACATTAAAACAATCTATATCAGAAGCATTTATTCAAATTCATTCATCAGCAAACCGAAGCCACTTCTACTATTAGAATAACAAATTGCACTGCAAAATAGGAGTTTCTCTTACAATTGTTGTAAGGGACAAGGCTGGATCCTTTATTGGCTGATGAACCCAGGGGGGTATAGTTACAATTCTCATTTTTATCGGGGCAGGGGATGACTCAAAGAATGAAAACGAAGCTGTGTCTGACTGGGGTGAAATATTTCAAAAACTTTCCTTCTCCTGGAGGGAACCAACCAGAAAAAATGTAAGCAATGGAGTTTCATGTTTCTGGTTTCAACATGGAATAGAGGGAGTTACAGGGGCAAGAACAGCGGTGAGTAGGCGCCTCTGAGATGTGTTCTCTTCTCCACCTACGTACCTTTGTGTCAGTGTGCAATGCATATCTCTGCGAGAAGTGTACAGAAAGCCAGGGCTCAGCTGGGTCTGGGAAAGCTGCCCTCGATCCCCATTTCACTTTAGGGAAGAGAAAAGCACAGAGGTCTTTTGTAGCCTCTAATCAATTCAGGGAAATAGAAGAGTTTAAAACAGGCTAGCTCAAAGCCGGTAAAGAAAATGGCTTAAAGCAGTTAATACAAACAACTAAATGTCAATTACTTTTTTGAAATGAAACAAATAAGGTTGACTGAAACATTTACTTAACCATTTGGTAGGCATTAGCTGTTGCAAACTAATGAAATAGCTGTGGTAATTGAATCTCAGTAAGGGGGTTTCAAAGTGTCAAAATTATAAACAATTCTAATAAAAACTAATGAGATAATCAACTCTCTTTGCTCAATTCAAGAAGTATACTAAATACCTGCTACTGGTTTTAATGTGTTACTTTTGTGTCCTAATTTGAGCCTTAGTTTCAGGCAATGTTTGATATTTGGGAACTTGTAACATCTAAATATGAAGAGTACTTATATCTGTTATGAAGATTTAAAAATGTACAATTATATAATATGATCCATTTTTTCATTAAGGAGGCCACAAAATGGAGTTCTCTTGGTGACTTTTTTTTTTTTGTTACTACAATTATAATTTTGTTTCCTGTAGAATGATGCTAACATTTTCCCTTTCAAGAAAAGATCTACCATAATAAAGATTATTCATAAAATGATATTTAATGAACACCTAAATACAGTCATCCCTCCATTATTTGTGGGTTCTGCATCCATGGAGTCAACCAAACAAGTCAAAAATATTTGGGAAAAAAAAGGATGGTTGTGTCTGTATTGAACACGTATAGACTTTTCCCCTTGTCATGATTCCCTAAACAAAACAGTATGATAAATATTCACATAGTATTTACATTGTCTTAGGTATTATGAGTAATCTAGAGATGATTTAAAGTATATGGGAAGATTTGCATGTGTTATATGCAAATACTATGCCATTTTCTATCACTGACTTGAGCATCCATGAACTTTGATATCCACAGGGGTGGGGTTGGGGGGGATCCTAAAACCAATCTCCCCAGATACTGAGGGATGACTGTATATACAAAATCACTGTTAGGTGCTCAATATCAGTCGATCTCACAAGGTTTCTCTAAGACTCAAATGAGAATCTAGGTGGCTCCACTTAATGGATTGCTGTGTGTGTGTGTGTGTGTGTGTGTGCGCGCGCACTATTTTTTTTACATAATCTGAATGAGTCACAAATACATTCAATTCTCAAATACAAAAAGTTATCTGGGTCTATTTACTTAAAAATTTTTAATAGAAGCTACCATTTACTGAGATCTAAATGCCATCAGTATGCTATGTACTTTTTAAAAATGTTTCACTTTATCTTTTTATAATAACCTTAGGAGATGGGTATCCTCTACATATTAAATGAGGATACATGAGTTTAAGAAATGTGATAAAGGTTCCACTAACTAGACCATATTAGAACTGAGATATGAATTCAGGCCTATTTGTCTGCAAAGCCTGTGAACTCATTCTATTCTCTAAAGTTCAAAAAATGGATGATTCTCTTCAATTATATTATATAGTTAAGCCTCATTTACATGCTTTTATGAAAAATCAAGCGTTTCAAGAACTATCAAAAGAATTACAACTTTTTCTTGACAATCACAGTCATCAAAGTGAACAGTAGTCATGGTTTGGGCTGTAACCTGGTTTACTCTAAAGACCCTGCACTTCACGGCCTAGTAGGATTTTTGCCTTGCATTTAACCAGGTAGTTTTTTTTTTCCTTTACCCTGTCACTTTCCCTTGCTTTTTTTATATCTGTAATTTGCTGTGGACTTACTATTTGACTTATTAATCAAATAACCAAATGTACAGAAATGGTATCTAAAGCAGTGGCTCTGAAACTTTAGTATCCACAACTCACCTGGTGAGCTAGTTTAAATGCAGGTTCTTGGGTCACACTCCCAGATGTTCTGATTTAGTAGCTTTGGGAGAATGAGGCCCAGGACTTGCCCTATGAGTAAAGAACACATACTTTATGACTATGAGAAAGGAAGTTCATTTTTAGTAACTTTTAGATTTTCATCTGTGGCCTGGTTAGTTGAGTATACATATATATACATCTCCTGCTATTTGAGATATTAAATATATTTAGAATTACGTAGTTTCAAAAACAACTTTATTTTTCCCCTTATATTATAAAATACTAGATTTGTTGAACAAAATGGCTACAGAAGAGTCAGAAAATACCAGAAAAAATGGCTTATTTCCCTCTCAAACCTTGCTTTAGTCTGTCAAACTTTCTTAAAGGACAACATGTATTTACTTAGTCTTTGGAAATACGGGTTTGAGTCCTGGTGTTCTGCTAGTTATATGATTTGACAAATTGCCTAACCAGTCTCAGCTGCAGATTTTTGCTCGTCCATAAAATGGGTGATAATAGTGCCTACTTCTCAGGGATAGTGGGAGCTTGAGAGAGAATGAAGAGAAAGTATTTAGGGTAAACACTTAAAATGTGGTCAAAATCTCAAAATGCATTTGTTACTTATAAGCCTTCTAGTTGTAATTATCACAAAAGTTTTGTGATTCTTAGAGGGAACCAGACTTCATATTTATACACCCCAATGTAATCTACAGAGATGAGCACAGTGGAGTGTCCTCCTTTGTAGTCTAGGAGAGAAATAAAATTTGCAGTTGCAGCACATTATCCTTACTTTCCTATATAAAATAGGCTTGAAGTATTGATTTCTATGTCACACAGAGGCAAAGAAACCAAGACTTTGCTGATTTAAATATTACAGACAAATCCTACTTATAATGAAGTATTATTACTTCAATAGAAGAAACAGACATACTAACATGAAAAAACACATTTTATTGCACTTAAGTTATAAGAAAATAAAATTTCTAAGTGAATCAAACCATAGACACAATCCCTTTAAAGGTTGTTTTCCTCCATCATGTCAGGTTGTTACATAACTAAAATTAACCAACTTGAATCTGATTGTTTTAAATCAGACTATAAATAAAACAAACAAAAAATAAACAGAAGGAGGAAAAAAAAGATCACCTAGGATACAGTGTTAAACCACTTTCACAGTTCAGCTTGAGTTGTGGCTCTTGGAGAATGAGGCAAACCATCTGACTTTTTCATTCGTTTTGTTTGTTTGCATGTGACGCCTTTACTATAAAAACTGAATAGTTTCTGCTTTGTCAGTTACTCAGAGCAATAAAACTGTAACAGTTGTTTTCCCAAATACTGTAAAACACTAAGACTGACCAGCAACTTTATTTTAATTTTGTGTTTTATATATTTTTAAAATATTTTGTCAGTTTTACGATGTACGTTCATCCATTCACCACAGCCCTCAAAAAGAAAAGTTTCTCCACAGAACAGGCAAGTAATAGCTCTGTTCCAAGGAATGTGTTTTAATTTTTGCCCAGATAAAAGAAAATAAGCTTTGCACACACTCTCAATTCTTTACTTGCAGGCAAACTTCACTCTTTATTATCTGAAACTCTTCCATTCTCAGCCTCTTAGAGGCACAGATGGCTCAAGTTTCAGTGGCAAAAAGTCTTTTTTCCGTAACCAAACTAGAGCAAATTTGGAATTCAGTCTGGGACTAAAACGTCACAGCAGAAAAAAAATAAAAAAAAATAATTTGCTTTTTTCTTTCTTTCATTTAGCAGCATAAATAAGTTTGGCCACTGGGAGTACAGTACAGGGGTGGGACAACAATCCCATATTTGAAGACCTACTTCTAGCACCAGCATCAAGAATTAAATCCATCTCAGGACTCACAGAACCCAGGACAACTTGCCACCTTTGAGCAACATATGCATTGAAGAATGTATATGGAAGCAACAGTAAATAGATTAACAGAGGCTAATACTGTGATTGATTGACATTGGCAATGGTTGGCAAAAAAAAAAAAAAAAAAAAAAGCTTTTCATGATAACTGTACAGAAACAATTCACAGTAATTTTTTTTAAGCTTTTCCACTCCAGAAAAATGACTTTTTGTTGCAGATGCTCTCTAATTAGAAAGTCAACCAGTACGTGTTTTGATGTTATTGCAGTTCCTTTCTAGGTGTCAGTGGTAAAAGAACAGGCTAGCAGAATCTGTAATGATGTTTCAGTATTAACACTGCCCAATGACCACTGGAGAAGAAAATAAAGAAATAATTGCACCTGGTTTGATTTAGAAAGTCTCATTTTGCAAAGCTGCCCTCAGTCAAAAGTGAAGCCTTTTATGTGATGAGACAGCAGACGCCTCTCTTGTCAGTTATGGTTTGTCATCTCGTCTTCTCTTCCTTCTTAGTCTGTAGGTCTTTTCAATCTGTTGCCCCAAGCCAACATCCTGCACCACTGAGAACAAGGGATTTTTTTCTTTTTCTTTTCTTTTTTTCTTTTTTGCAGGGGGAAGGGCAGGGAGTATATTGTCTACACAATTGGACAAATTCATCTTTTCTGCTCTTCACTTCATGTCCACATCAAAGTCCAGCACCAGCAGCTTGGTTTCTTCAGTCCCATTCCGACTCCCAACTGCACACACCAGCTTTGTGTTTGAGGCTCTGATCCGCCACACAACTCCCCCACTCCCCCCACTCTCCAATGTGACTAGGTTTCGAATAAATTCACCCGTTTTCAAGTCCCATAGTTTTACAGTTCCATCATCTGAGCTGGTAATTACAAAGTTCTTGTTGAACTGTAAACAGGTCACAGCACTCTGATGCTTGTTGGGACCTAGACAAAAACCAAAAGAATTTAATTACTGGTTAGAAATAATGGCTATGGGTTAGTTACATTATAATTTGTAGACTTCTACTTTAGAGCATACAATAAATGCAACATTTGAAGTGATACTTATTTAGAAGCCTATGTCCTCAGTATTTTAGGATCAGCGTGGATGTAAGAAAATCTGGTAGTGATTTGTAACTGAAACATTAACTTTCAAGAGCTCTGTTGTCCAAGAAGCTTGGTTAGCTACCAGACAAACATCTAATTTTTGGCTGTGTGAAAGAGAGCATTCCTTGGTGAGGATGTAGCCAGTACAACTGTATGCTTTCTGCTGATGGACAAATAAGCACTAAGAGATCTATTACCCTCACCAATATGAACCAGTCAAAGCTGAATGTACACTATTCCAAAACTCTGAGGCAAGACAAAACCAATGAGTAAAAAGCTGCAATGTTGCCTATCAGATGGCCCCACCAAAGAAAAAAAAAAAAAAAAAAAAAAACACTTTCTAAGGGCTACACCAAATAGAAAAAGTTGATCATGAGACACTGTTATACCTCATCTAATATTAGTGATTTTCACTTGTCTCTTTCTCTATTTTAGTAGGTACTATTATTCCTCTCCATTCCAGGTAAGCATGTGACTAAATGGAGGCCAAAGCAATTTTCTATCAGGGATGCTTTTTTTCCCAATAAGGTAGCCCTTTAAAATTGGACAAATTAAAAATGCAATGGTCAATCAAAAATTATAATGAGTAAGTTGCTTCTATAATACAGCCAGATCTTTCTTCTCACTGTTCTTTAAGGTTAAGTAGAGTCAACTGAACATGCAGGAAGTGATTAAACAATTTTATATTACATATTAAAAACACAGTTTAAAACATCTCAAGAGTAGACTAGTTCTGTAAGTCAGGGTAAAAATATTCATAAACTTTTCTGAAGTAAGTATTCTGTATGAGGTTGGCTATTTTTGTAATGCTAAAGCTCCCTATTTCTCTTAAATAACAATTTCATTTTCAATGAACAAAACTAAAGGTAAGTAACCAACACTTACCTTGCAATGTTTGTAAACACTGTCCTGTTTTGATATCCCAGATTTTAACTGTAGAATCTGCATTCCCAGAGACAAGAATATTGTCTTTGAGTTCCATTCCACTTGTTAACGACTGATGCCCTGTTAACGTGTGAATGCAATTCCCTGTCTCCACATCCCAAACTCGGATTGATGTATCAAGAGATCCACTGACCACATGGATACCATCAAACTACAACAGACACAGTTTATTAGAATAGAAGTAAGGATACTTTTCCTATTAATTACTGACCTTAATCCTAGCAGGAATGGGGGAAGAGCATGGGAAACAGGTAATGCCAGGAACAAAATGAGGTGCTAGGATAAACTGGCAATGAGAATAAAGTGCATGTCATCAAGCAACTCTACAATGTATGTTCTCAGACACTTCTATCAGAAATGCTCATCTTTACACCCAGCAGCTTCAAACTAGATGCAGAAACAACTTAAAATGAAAACAAAGCACCTAAAACGAACAATATATTAATTTTCAAATCATCTGTCCCCACTTAGCTATATACCATGTGACTGACAGAACTGTTATTTGAGTTTTACTTCCCACTAGGAAGTTGAAACTAATGACATAGCTTATGATAAATGGAGTGCTTATTAGCACCTAAGGCATGAAAAGGGCTAGAGATAACTTTTGTGATGTTCAAAAGTAAGTTCCATTAAAAACTGTGTGTAAAATAAAATTTCACTTATAAGAACCTAATGTTAATTAGGAAATGTGCCAAAAGATAATTATATCTGGAATCAGAAGAGGTGGCATTTTGACATCAAAAGCACACTACAAACTACCTCTTCTCCAGCTTCCCAGCTACACCAAAAGCCAATAACAATCTATCATTTCTATATAATAATGTGGCTACCTCTTTTCTCAGTCAAATAGGTTATTTAAATTAGAATATTATATTGATTAGCCTTCTGAGCATATCACAAAACATACAAACAGTTGCAGCCAATTCCCCTTCCACCAAATTCATCACCTTTTCTAATTTAGCAAACATCTTTATCATATTGCCCGTATTTCCTGACACGGACAATATCCCTTCGACAAACAAACAAATATCCTAAGAAAAGAACTGTCAGTACTAAGATTATGTACTAATTTGCTGAACATTAATGGGCAGTAACTGGCAAATAAACTATATAAGCTACAGAAAATATTTAAAAATTGAAAATGTTGCCTTTCTGGAAATAAAACAAGATTCATATTCTAAACCTTCTATTCATCTAGTTAACGATCTTAAAATACGGCAATGTTTTTAAGGATACTGGCTTGAAATGTAAACCAAAAAAAAAAAATCAGCTTAGTCAACTTTACTTCTTTATGACTACAAATCAGTGCCTCTGGGATAGCAGCGTGCTTTATGTAGAAAGGATCTATTTCCACTCTGAACGGGGATGGAATCACAATTACATGGTCCATCAACTTTTAGCTATCAAAGCAAAGGGGCAGTTTTGGCCATATTAATCCTCTGGCAAAGGAGTTTCTTAAAATCCAGGTTACTCTCCTATGAGACTATTTAGCTATTAATTAACATAGCAAGAGTCCCAAAGTGTCAGGTTGCAAGACAAATATTTGTATTTCACAGGGAAAATAGATTACAGAAAGTTGAAAGCATTTAAATAATTTTGAAATTTATACTTTCTTCATGCCAATTTTAAAGTGTATATAAACAGCAGAATAATCTGTTTAATCTTTTTTTGGACTATATTGGATCAGCAATTTGACAGTTATTATCTGGGTAAAACAACCTTATGATTCATCAGGAGAGCATCTAAGAGACAGATAAAGATCTCTTACCTGTAATGAATAGACTCTATTAGTATGCCCCTGCAACGTGTGTAGACAGGTTTCAGTCTCTGGATCCCACACCTTTACCATAAAATCATATGCTCCACTAACAACCCTCCTGCCATCATATTGAACACAGCGGACTGCTGCAACATGACCCATCAAAACATGTAAACACTGGCCTGTCTCAATATCCCAAACCCTAAGAGTGGCATCTCGAGAACCGCTAACAACTCTGCAGAGGAAAAAACAGAAGAAAAAAAAACATGTTTAGAATTTTTAATAATATGAGAAAACATGATAGGTGAAGTCAGGGTTTCTTAGCTTTCTCTTCTTACACAGGAACAACTGTTTTCAAAAGAAATCCTATATAATTACCTCTACCACCTCCAAAGGAAACCCTTCTTGTTCAGGACTGTAATAGCCACAGTTTGCAAAAAGTGCAGCTATTGATTAATGCAATGTATTGTCAGTTAGATGTACATTCCTGAGGTGTTTTATCTGTTGTAGCTTTTTCTTTTTCTTTTCATTACATCAGGTGTATTGCCCTGTAAATTGTGGTAGTGGTACCAGGAATAAAAAATTAAGGAATTTTTAACTTGAAAAAAAAAAAATCCTATATAAAACCTTGGTATATAAACATACAGTATGGGAATGGGAAGTTGGGAAGCCTAGAATGCTGCATGCTTGTCCCTGACCTGTGGGCCTTAGTTCCAGCAACCCAAAATTCTGTGGGATGGAGTTTGAAAGCCACTGTACCGTATTTTTTTAAAAAGCAGCAGCAGCTGCCTCTAAATATATACAATAAGATCTTGATTTTAGAAATAAAATAACATGGGCATATGTATAAAATGTTAATGGGAGAACTCCAAGTGCTAATAGTTTAAATAATTTAAATTCTCTTCTTTATGTTCTTTGCCACTTTCCAAAATTTCTATTATGAATGCTTATACTCCCTTGTGATTAGGTAAAAAAATTCAATAAAGGTTGTAAGGCAAAACAAGTCAGAATTTGGAATTTGAACAGCTACAGATTTGTGTTTACAGTATATATTCTAGTAGAAATTAACCAGTTTTAGACATTTCCTCAAACACAAGCTGCTTATGCTTCTAATGATTACATTTATAAATATGCAATAGTCTGTAAGAATATTAAGAGATACAGATTTTAAAAGATATGCATACCTTTAAAAACAATGGCTATTCCTTAAACATTTGGTTCAACATTAGCTTTTCTTAAAATCAGAGCAATATACTAATATTTCATTCACTTTTGGATTACAAAACAAAGCTGAAAACTCATATGTCCTTATGTCACTCTTAAGAGATAATGAAATCCCACAGTTTCCATATTTGAAACAGTAGAAAATTAAAGGGTTGAGAGATTTAACTCAGAACATAATGGAAACTGGAATGCAAGGTCTCTTGATACTCATCCCCCAAATTTTAACAGTATAGCACACTGTTCAAAGTAGACGTAAATGACAATTGAAAAGGTACTCTCTTTCACATATTATAAATCTGGTGTGAAATCTGCTTAGTGTAATGATTCTTAAGGAAGAAGATGCTATAGATGGAATTAAAGGTAAAGACTGCCATGGATTCACTGTAAGAACCTTTCAGAGAGACCTTTTTGACAAATTAGGTAGAAATCACACTCATTTAACAGGGGTATGATGAAGATAATAGAAAGATAGGATTTTAATAGGAGGGCTTTATAGGAGGAGATGCAAGCAACAGCAAAGGCACTGAGAAAAAAAAGTCAAGCAGTCCAGTTTGACTGAAACCATTTTGAAAACTGGATTGAGGATTTTTTTTCCTTAATTCATTAGTCAACAGTAGGCTCACAAAGACTTAAGAACTAGGCAGCGAGACTATCATAATTATAAAAGGACCGTATGTCAGCTGTGTAAAACATAAGTTGACCAAGTTAGAAGCTGTAATAATAGTTCAGAATGAGAGAACAAACTACTCTCAGGCCTCAGATTTTGCCTAGAGCTAGAGGCTATGATGGGGTGGGTGTAAGGTGGGTAGGTAATTAAGAAAGGTTCAGATGTTTGAAACCTGAATTTGTCCCACTTGCAGAAGAATATCAAAAAGAGAGAGAGAAAAAATGATACCTGCTTGAAGATGATGAGTCATCAAAGACACAGAACAATAAAAAGGATTAGAGAGTTTCAAAGAGGAAGCCGAAAATACTAGCAAATGGGAAAGGAAACTTACAGACAATCCCCAATTTTAAGACAAAACATTATGGCTTTCCTAGAATAGAAATATCTGAAGTTTAATAAAGTCTAATTCAAGAGCACATTGTCACTATTTCAGTAACTCTACACAGAAAGGGCCCAAATTCACAAATAACAGAGGAAGAAGTCCCAGCCACGATGAGATTTTCCCTTACCTTTTTTCATGAAGATGCATACAACGCACAGTGGAAGTATGTCCATATAAGGTGTGTATACATTCTCCAGTCTCTGCATTCCACACTTTGAGAGTCCGATCTGTAGATCCACTAATGATGATGTTGTCTCTCATCTGTGATGACCATACTCCACCTGTATGTCCCACTAATGTTCTCAGACACTGGGAAAACACTTAAGATGATTACTTTTGGGTAGAAAGGAAAAGCGATTTAAATAACATTTTAATAGCTCATTAAAATTTGGAGTAAAGTTATTTATTCAATTTGTTTGGCTCACCAGAAAATATTTTTTTACACACCCATATAAAATGATCCCATCACTATTTGTTTTGCTTATTCAATAGCATTATAAATTTATACAAGCACAAGCAAGTGAAGAACAAGTATGTAGAAAGCAAACGTTATGATATAAAACATAATATAATAAAAAAGAAACATGATATGAAAGCAATTATGATAGCTCTGGCCTGGCCTCTTTGAATAAATAATTCTGAAATTGCAACTGAGTTTCTTCCATGGGAGTAGATTCAATGAAAGTATGCCAACAGTGCTGGGTGTGGCTACATACCACATTTTATCTGAATCGGCCCCAAGGTAGTAGTTAGAAGTCAGTGAAGCTACTTCTAGACATGTAAAAACAGACATTAAAACCCTGAAATAAATCCCAAACTAATATTACACTACGGAAATATAAAGCTGCTTTAAAAAATTTTAACATCTGACTTGGAATATTTATAAGATACTTGCCAAGAAGCAACATGGTAAAAGACATTTTTAAAAACATGGATTTTTTTTTTTTTTCACACTCTCTTCTGCTATTTTTTAGGTGGTCAATTAAGTAATAATATTCTCTACTGGACAGATAAAAATATTTACTGGAGAATCATTAAGGTGTATGTTACACAGTCAAGCTGACTGCTTGGGCTACTTTTTTCTTCAAACTTAACATTTAAATGCCTAGTCCTCTCTCATCTCACAAAGGTTTAAGATATGTCAAAATTAACATGATATATTAAGTTGTAAACTATAGGAAGGTTATCAACAGAGCAGTTTATAAGGAAAAATAATATCCCTCAATCATACTTTTGAAAAACATTACAAAGTAATGAGGTATAACTTAGGCAGTAAATAAAAGTGGGAAAAAATTGAGCAAAAAAAAATATAAAGCACCCTGGAAAATGTTAAAATATCTGTCATAAAGATAAACCATGTAAATGAAAAAAAAATGAAACCTCTATCATGAGAAACATAATTATCCTTATGCCAGTGACTTTCATAAATATGGGGGGAAAAGCTAAGTTACAAGCTCTGATGTTTGCTATCCAAATAATTGAGAATCAAAAATGAATTACTGCTTTCTTTTTTCCAGTTGCTACCTGTAACGGTAGACACAAAATGATGACTTTGTGAAGTGTAGGAAGAGTAAACTTACTTTGCCCGTGACTGCTGACCAAACTTTTAAAGTGTTGTCATCAGAACCACTAACTATTCGGTTACCACAAAACTGTAAGCATGTGATCACATGATCATCATGTCCTTTCAGCACCTATAAGATGAATGCACAGATCAGAAATATGTTAATTAAATTATGTTCTTTAATATACTGTTGAAGAGAAAAATGAAGGCATAAACAGGAACAGTAATTTGTAGTCTATCTCTAGAATTAAAATTTATATAAAATATAAAGCTTTATTCTTCCTGGCTGACAAATCCAGAATTAAACATTTTATTGTTTCCATATTCTCTTATTTACACTCAAAACATCAAGTATTAAAATTTTACTGCATCAAGATCTCATAAAGATGGTTCAAACACCAAGGTATTTGAAAATAATCTATTTTATCGGTTCAAACTAATAGAATATGCCTCTAATTTTTACAACTTTGACACACAAGAACAAAATAAGCCTCTATTAACCAATAAGAGTAACAATTATCAGCCTTCTCAGAACAACAAAAAAAACTATGACAATGACTCCCCAAATGTTTTTCCAGTTGTAAAAATATCCCCAATAATTTCAAGTGTTTTTCTCATATATTTATATATGAAATGTTGTAAGACAGAAAACCAGAATTATGCTTCAATTTATAAAAATAAAACACAGAAAAGCCACCAAAACCAAAACATGGACATTCCTCAAAAAATCATGTTTGGTTGAAGGAACTCTGTCTTTACTAAAAATACAAAATTAGCCGGGCGTTGTGGTGCATGCCTTTAATCCCAGCTGCTCGGGAGGCTGAGGCAGGAGAACTGCTTGAACCTGGGAGGCAGAAGTTGTAGTGAGCTGAGATGGTGCCATTGCACTCCAGCCTGGGCAACAAGGGCGAAACTCCGTCTCAAAAAAAAAAAAAAAGAAAAAGAAGAAAAAAAAAAATCATGTTTGAACTATGTGGTCAGAGGGGACAGCAAATCCTTAGGTAGAATGTGTATGACACAGTAAAATTCAACAGGATATGGAGAGATTTTCATTTATGTAAGATATAATCAATTTAACTTATCTTTTATTCAAGTATGATTAGTTGTCAGATTAGAGAAATTAGCAATACAAGAATATTGTCAATAATACTTTCAGTTATCTTAAAATACATAGTTTTCTTTCCACAGAAGAGAGGTATCAAATTATACAGTTTGCCAAGAAGTGAAATAGTACACTAGGTACTAACACTGATTCATGGTTTCTGTTACATTGTGCAGAGTTCAGTTACCTTAGGAGATTTGAGTTCTCCTCGCCTCCAGTTAGTATCAATTCTGTGCTGTCTGATGTATGCACTTTTCCACGGACTGTGTATGAAACCTGGTTTTATTACTTTTCTTCTCTTGATGTGCAATGGTTCATCAATCCCTAAAGTGTTACAGTTCAAACGTAAATTGCCTTCACCAATAATAAAAATTATACATTTTATAAAGTATTCCATCTTCCTTTCTGTTCAAAACCACTGAAATGCAAGACACTGTCCAATTTCTAATACTGTTATCACAGTATGTAACAATAAAGTTTGCTTTCTATATGGCATATTTTTGTATTATTTCATTTCTTTCTCAAAATGATTCTAGAAGATGTTGACAAAGATGAAACTTCGTCAGGAAACTAGAATGCTTGTGCAAATGGTACAGCTACTGTGGAAAATAGTCTGGTGGTTCCCCAAAACAAACACAGAATTAACATATATTCTACTTCTGGATACGTAACCAAAAGAATTAAAAACAGAGCCTCAAACAGTTATCTGTACACCTATTTTCATAGCAGAATTATTGACAATAGCTAAAAGGTACGGGCAATCCAAGGGTCCATCGACAGAGGGATAGCATTAGATACATATACACAACAGAATACCGGAAATTCTGACAAACACTATGACATGGATGAAACTTGAAGACATTATGCTAAGTGAAATAAGCTGATTGCAAAAGGACAAATATTGTATGATTTCACTTATATGAGGTACCTAGAGCAGTCAAACTCATAGAGAGAGGAAGTAAAAGGGTGGTTGCCAGAGGCTGTGGAAAAGTTATAACATTGGGCATGGAGTTTCACTTGGGGAAGATGAAGTTGTAAAGACAGATGGTAGTGATAGTTGCAAAACAATGTGAATGTACTTAATACCACTGAACTGTACATTTAAAAATGGTTAAATTCATATATTACATACACGTTATCACAATGTTTAATAAATTTTTAAAAATGATTGTATGGGAGAAGGGAAGGCAGGGATTAATCCCACTTTATGTATACAGATACTTAAGAAGGAAGATTTCACTGGTTAAACCTAAGCCCCACAGAGGGCAAAAGCAGGATGAGAAACCCCTGGATCTTTACCTCTAACCTTTATTAACTGGACTAACCATCAATGCTCTCCACTTGACCATAACCACCACGAAGGGAAGGATCACCTATAGAGTACCTGCATCATGATCTATAATTCTTTCTTGAAAGTTTTGCTTCGGAGGCACATAATAGTTTTGTATTTTTTCAAAAATACTATTTTTCTGGATGTCTCCTGGGAGAGAAAAAAAAAGTCCTCCCAATGCAGAAGATAACTACTCCTCTACTAAGGAGAAAAACAGGTTTCAAGAACATAAGCTCCATGATAGAAAGAGAACTTCAGCTCACTGCTATATCCCCCACCTTTAAGAAATGTCTAGCTCATAGGAGGTGTTCAATATGTAAGGAATAAATTAATACTAAATATTTGAATATTTAATTGGTAATATAATTTTGGGGTTTCCTTTAAATCGTCCTCATCTTGACTTTTTCATTGTTTATTAATTCTACTAGTGATAGGAAGCAAATTAGATATATTTGCTATTAGTTATATTGTTTGTTAAAGGGGTCAGCTGAAGATTTGGCTCATTTGAATGTGTAGAATAATGTGTGGATTTTACTATAAGAAGGTAATATTCTTACTTTTATTTTTTCTACTTTTTTTTCAGAATCACCCTGATTTTTCAAAGTATAAACATAGTCTCTATGCAGTTTTGAACCTTACCCTCTTCTTTGCATTTTTCTCTCCAGAGAAGGTTGTCTTCAGCCAAAATTCTCCAGTAGCGACACGTCTGAGCCGCTTGCAGCAGGTCTTTGGGTTCCAGGAATGAAAGCACATAAAGTGCCAACTAAGAAAAAGAAAAATGCATAGTGTAATACCCACATTTAAATAAATATATGGATTATATAATAAGTTAATTATTCTCCACAGGATGAAATACTTGATAGATATAATTCTCTGATTTCTAAAATTAGGAAAGGCAGTAACTTCAGTCCTAACAAATATATACCAGATAAAAAACACACACATACTTTATTGGTTTTTATGAACTTCATTCTACTAACTCTTTACCTCTTCAAGGACTACTTATTAAACCTCTGTCTCTGCTCATGCCTTTGCTCTGTGAGACTCAACTCAATAATATTTTTTAAAAAAATGTTATTAGTTGTTTAACTTTTTGTTCTCTCTCCCACTAACTACAGTGTAAATTTACTGAAGACAGGACCTAAATGCTTGCCTGACAGATAAGAAATGAGACTTTTATATATTCTGTGTGGTATGACTGCAGATCATTTCTGATAGAAATATATCATAATTAATAGTCTTCACATCAAAGTGTTTATCATAATGAACTTTTGAAATATTTACATCCTTGAGTGTAAATGACAAAGGGGGACAATTATTAAACTATTCCACAGACATATAAAAGTAATTGAGTTCTAATTACTTTACATTACTTATAAGGATCTTTTTGATGGGCCACATAGAGTTGTATATTTGAGCTAACTCTTAGGTATACTACCAATTTAAAAATTTTGTTCATAATACTTACACAAACCATCATTTTTTTCAGTATGTCAGTTTATAAATAAACAAAGATAAAGGAAAAATAAAAAGGGGAAAAAAGAGAAGGGGAATTATAGCCTCTGACTACAATTATTCAAGTAGCCTCACTTATCACATAAAATTTTAAATTATTATTTTAGGGAAAATAATTTAAATAGAGCAATTAAGTTCAGTTTTCATATGAACTGAATGACAAGAACTAAAACAAATTATCCTTTAAAGGGTCAAGGATCATATAGGGAGTAAAAGCACAATTTTAATTATTTTTTGATGCTAAATAGAAATTATATAATATAAATTATATGCTTTCCCAATGACTTCGTATATATAAGGAATTCATCATTGGGTGGGTACAGTGGCTCACTGCTGTAATACCAGCAACTTTGGGAGGCTGAGGTGGGTAGATCACTTGAGGCCAGGAGTTTGAGACCAGCCTGACTAACATGGTGAAACTCCATCTTTACTAGAAATACAGACATTAGCCAGGTGTAGTGGCACATGCTTATAATCCAAGCTACTCAGGAGGCTGAGGTGTAAGAATCACTTGAACCCAGCAGGTGGAGGATGCAGTGAGGCAAGCTTGTACCAGTATACCCTAGCCTGGGTGACAGAGCAAGACTCTGTCTCAAAAACAACGACAACAACAACTCATCATTAATTACATATTTACTGAGTATATTCAATATACAAAATACTCCAACCAGCCAGTATTCAGTTTAATACTACTACTGATGAATGATAGTGAAGAAACTTTTTTTGTGAAATAATTACTTTTGGTATATCAGAGAAGACCAGTATTACATACAGAAGTTGAGTCATTTAAAATAAAAAGGTGTGACTACATTCAACAATACCCACACATGATATAATATCAAGATTATACTTAATGGATACTCCAAAAGCCACTTAATTTGGGAATTACCAATCAATCAAAGCCTAGGCAAGTTCACTTTGTGTCAGTATAGCAGTAATGTGATGTTACTATTACTAATCTATGTATAACATAGAAATTACCAGGCACAAAAATATTTGTGCAGAAGAGGTGCTAATTAATGACCAAGATATTTATGTAAAAACAGAAGAAGTCTATTCTTTTCTTTGCTTTAGTTATCTGACTAAACTAGAAATCAGATAATTTACAGAAATAGTCAATGGATTTTAACAGCTAGGAAACAATTCCAGAATAGCTTAGATTTCAAAAGTACATCCCACAATCAACAGGTAAAATTTCCAGCATTAGCAGTGATTAAAAAATCATTTAGTCCAATGCATTAAAGAGAAATATAAATAAATACTAAGGCACTAAAGAAAGTTGAAGTGCTAACTCTATAGGTTACCGGCATACTTTCCTTTAAAGTAGTGAAGATCCTAACTCAACCAAGAACCTCAACTTATTACATGTCATAACCTAGCCAGTTCCATCAAAACATCAAAGCAATACAGAAAATACACAAAGCAAAATGAAAATATGAATTAAAAAAATCAGAAAGAAGGTTTAAACTAGAGAATAAGTAGAGCACAAATATGCTTTCAACAAGATTATGTCTTATAAGGTTTTGAATTAAACTGCCAAGCCAAAAAGAGAAGAGCCATTAGATGCATGATTCTTACTACATATTATGAGGAACTTCCCTCAAAGGAAGCAAGGTTGTGCCATGCAGGGCTCTGAAATGGACTGAATGTCTATATTTCCTCAAATTCATGTTGAAATCCTAACCCCCAATGTGATGGCATTAGCAAGCAAGGTGTCTGGAAAACAATCAGGTCATGAGGTTGGAGCCCTCACGAATGGGATTAGTACTCTCATAAAAGGGGCATCACCCTACCACCCCAACCTCCCAGAAAATTAGCCAAGTGTGGTGGCACATGCCTATAGTCCTAGCTACTCAAGAGAACTGTTTGAGGATGCAGTGAGCTACGATCATGCCACTGCACCCCATCCTGGGCAACAGAGTGAGACTGTCTCTCCAACCACTTTGGTAGGGAGTCACGGGTTTCTTGCAGCCAAGTCATTTGGTCCAGCTAATGCAGTTTCCTATTCATTTGTTTTAAATGTAAAACCCAGATTAGTATTTCTTCCTAAAGACCACTTCTGCCAGAGAAAAGCTCTTGAATTGAAACCTGTTTTCAGATAATTACCTTTTCCCTGTCCAACTCTGTAAGAATTGCTATTTTTTATTTTTCTCTATAACCTATATAAAAGACAACCACATTGTACTTAAAAGGTAGCCAAAATTTCCCCAGACTTGCTACATTTCAGTAGATTAAACTAGTCAAGGAAAAAAATAATAATCCTATATTAAGAATTTCAGGTTTTGTTCTACATCATCTATTATATGATTATGATTTTCTTGGTATTCACTTACAAAGACACTGCTATTTATCCATCACAAGCCTCCCATATGAAACCAGTGAGATTTTTGTCAAGCTTTTTGAGATTAATAAGTAAATGTTTCTAAAGAGTTCTGAGATCTGTCCAAAGGAATTATAAGAAAAATAAGTCCATTTCCTGACAAGAAGGTAATAATGTTTTAAATAATAATACTTTGTTTCCAAAAGTATAATGTTAATTTTATTAAAAACTTTGATCTATACCATTATTTATCCACATGGACAATAAAGTATTTTTCAAATAGGAAACTTCTTTTCCTGGTAGTTGAAAACAAGAGGGAAACATTGATGATATGCTAAACCAAGGCTCTACCATAGTCTCCTACCTAACTAATTTCACTTCTTTTTCCCCAGGCAGTCTTTAAAAGCACACTTAAACCAAGAAAATCTTTATTGGATTTACCCTGGTTATTGATTATTTGTTATTAGTTCTTAGATTTCTGAAAATACCTTCATATTCTAATCTTAAACCACATTTTTTTGTGTTAAGAAGTTACTATGAAAATTCAAATAAAGCAAAACAAACCAAAACCTCACCATTATTAGAAATACGAGAATAAATAAGACTATGAGAAGGCCTGCATTTTTTTTTTTTGTGAGACGGAGTTTCGCTCTTGTTACCCAGGCTGGAGTGCAATGGCACGATCTCAGCTCACCGCAACCTCCGCTCCTGGGTTCAGGCAATTCTCCCGCCTCAGCCTCCTGAGTAGCTGGGATTACAGGCACGCGCCACCATGCCCAGCTAATTTTTTGTATTTTTAGTAGAGACGGGGTTTCACCATGTTGACCAGGATGGTCTCAATCTCTTGACCTCATGATCCACCCACCTCGGCCTCCCAAAATGCTGGGATTACAGGCATGAGCCACCGCGACTGGCCTGAGAAGGCCTGCATTTTAACAAAAATGATACCCTCTAAAACAAGGAGGATATCACTAAGGAAACTATAGAGAATATATCAAAGGTGAATAAAATCACTCTCAGTCAAATATTTATGTGTTTCCCATTATTAATGCCCTTCTGGAAGCAAAGAGAGCTGATGTCACTTTCATAAGCCAAATATATTCAAAGAATTCAGTTTTAGAATGAGCTAGCAAAAATAAAAATTTTCTTCTGGGCCAACGTCATTTTTAAAAAGCACTCAGTAGAAAACATTTCAGGAAGAAGAGATTTTCTCACTTCGCTTTTCTCTAGAGTTATAGAGTTATGTTTAGTTCTATGCATTAAATATGATACAACTATTTTATTTGTGTCCAATGTGAAATTCTAACTGGGACTATCTTTAATATCATTAGGATATTCAGAATGATAAAAAATGACTCCTTTTCTGTTCAAATTTGAAGTTTCAGGATCATTTGAAATGGTATATTAGTATTTTATATTGTCTTCTTAGCTGACATATAACTAGTGGCATATACATATTACTTATGAAAATATGAATATGCCTATTATGAAAATACAAATTCATAAAATTACTTAGGAAAATACAAATAATCAGCATGGGGATGTGATTATTTAATGTTATATTATTTCTGCTTGCTGACAAAATAAAATTACTGTCTATAATATCAGTAATGCCTTATTTATAGTTATGAATGCCCATATAATCAGTCTATGATAGTTTCAGCTTACATAAAAACATAAAGAAATAGACAAATAATTCCCAGATAAGTGCTGTTAGCATGTAATTAGTATGGAAAATCTGTATGTGTGTAATGGAGATAGGAGAATGATTAGTAAATATATACACATGTAATTATAATATTTGTATTTAAAATAATTATACAATGTAAGTTCAAGAGAACTGTAATTCAATAGAATCATAAAACTATTGGTCTTGAAGGGACTTAAGATACACAGTAAGAGAAAAAGTATTGCCATTTTAATAAAGTCAAAATTTAAAATATATACTATAATGAATATACCAAGACAACTAAACGTTGGGCTTCAAATTACTTGGCAAAAAAATCTTGGTAAAGAAATAATTAAATTAGTGAGACTCAATAGTTACTCTCATATATGACTTATTCAAGTAGTAGAAAGGAGTTACTTAGTCCACATGCATACTTTAATCTGACAATTACATTATTAAGTCACGGCAATTTACAGCCCTCTTTACCACGAATTAAGAGTGTCAAACTGACAATACTGAATACCATAATTAGCATGACAATGTTTAAAGGTGGTAGCCGTTGAGTTATATATTCAAATAACACCCAATGAAGAATGTAATTGATAATCCTTACCTCTTTAGGGAGCAATGAAATGAAGTCTCGTTGAAACTGGGGTTCTATCACTTGCATCATATGTTTTACTTGTGTTGGTTCACAACTATCAATGAGTTCATCTAAAGCAAGCAATTTCTCTGGTCCACTCCAGCTCTATCAAAGAGAATGAGAAATTTTTATTATTTTAACAGATGTCCCAAATTAAAGGCTTATAAAGAAAAACTCACAACATAGGTGAACAAGGTGGAATTGTACAAAAACTGGCCCCTTATACTGACATTTTTTCCACAAGGTATTAAAGAAGGCATTTAATTTTATCGCTTACCAATCACTTTTATTTTGTAAAAGTTTTAAAAGTCATGTTTGACAGAGAAGTATTTTTTTCATTAAATTATTATAATAGTTATATGTTCATCTACCACCAAGACACTAATTGAGAAGCCAAAATTTTATTCTAGAAACATCATTTTCGGTTATTGAGTAAATAACAGAAAATTTTGACAATTTTTCTTTCTCTACATTCTTTCTAGTGGGCACCATAAAATTAGACGGTTTTATTAAGGCACTCATCAGAAAAAAGAGCAGCAGCATCATTCAGAGAAAAATCAGTAACTGGATATATTACACATTTGACAAGTGTCTTCCACAAATTAAACAGGCTTTGATTTGTTATATGAAAATAATTTCAGATAAAAAACAATCAACAATAGAAAATAGTAGCTGACAGTGGTAAAGTTAGAATACAAACAAAGGCTAAAAGAGGGTAAGAGAGAAAGTGATACACTATAAAAACACAAAAACACACAATTATGCTTCAGAAATAAGAGTTTCTTTAAATGACATTAGGAGATTATCTTAAAATTTTATTATTTTCCCCTCAGTGAAGAACACCTGCACAGAAAAGCCACGGTTCTTAAAAGGAAAAACTAAAACGCCGTGTGAATAATTCAAATGTTACAATTTTACACATTTAAATAACCTCATAAAACTTAAATGAAAGAACATTCTTAAGCAGACCTTCATTTCTGCAAATCCACTGATTTAAGTATCATTTTAAGAATTTTTGTGTCTACTTTACAAGTGGGTGAATAGAGAATAGGTGAGGTTTTCAGTTAAAAAGATCTCCATTCCATTTTGCCATTCCATTTCTTGTCCAAACAAGAAAACTTGATCCAAGATGTGAAAGATATAATAATTGAAAACAAATACATTAAAGATATCAGGAGCCATATTTGGAATACTTTTTAAAGTATTTACCCCTGTGGAATCTACAATAAAATTCATCTCTTCTTTCTTATCATAAAATATGTATTAAATTGGCAATATGATAAAGCATTTCAATAGTATTTATTTCCATAGTGTATTCCATTTTATCACCTAATGTTAAGGAAATACAGGCTCCAATCAGTTGTGTCCCTTCTCCCGTTTCTACAAATACATGCACCTAGAACATTTACCTTGAGTCTTACCTTGTACCTTTTATGGTCAGGGGGAGGATATACTATACATAGAAATGTAAAATATTCAGAAACATGTATATGTACACACGTGACCAATTAAAAGCAGTTAATTTGAAGTTTAATAATCTTGTTTGGTTTCTCTCACATAACTTCAAATACTGGTTTAAAATTTACCTCTTTGACATAGCTTACAGTCATCAGCCTCCACTCATCTCTCTCCAACTGGTACCGCAGAACAAACTCATTAACTTGTTTTGTTTTGATAATATGCTACTCCTCTCCATCTACATCATAGACGATGCATGGATACTAGTATAAGGACATGCTCATTTTGAGTGACTGATAACTATGTTAACTTAATTAAAATGTAGCTTTAGGCCAGATGCGTTGGCTCATGCCTGTAATCCCACCAGTTTTGGGAGGCTGACGCAGGAGGATCACTTGAGCTCAGGAGTTCAAGACCAGCCTGGCAACATAATGAAACCCCATCTCTAGAAAAAAATTAAAAATTAGCCAGGCATGGTGGAGTGTGCCTGTAGTCCCAGCTACTCAAGGAGCTGTGGCAGGAGGTCAAGTCTGCAATGAGCTATGATCATGCCACTGCACTCCAGCCTGGATGACAGAGTGAGACTTTGTCTCAAAAAAAAAAAGGCAGCTAATATATGAAATATCTTTCATCAAGGCTTTTGGAGGATAGAGTATAGAATTAAAGAAGACAGGGCAGATGATAAATAACTAATTCAGATCTTAGCTAAGTATTGGAAACTGTGTCAGAAATTTCTACATATTTAAGAAAAAGTACATGGAAAAAAATTATGCCTGTTTAACAAAATATTTCTAAGACTCTAAACAATATATTTTTATTTTGTTTTATTAAATCTTTGATTTAATAAGAATCAAATAAAATTTAAAATGCCTCAATTTAAATTATACAGTCAGTAGGTGTTACTTTGTGGTATTTTATTAAAAAGTATACCACTGACAAAGATGAGTAGCATAAGAAAATCAGACTGTTTCCACTGATCACACATATTCAACAGTCTGGTTGTTTAAAATCACATCTCTTTGGTGATTCTAAATAACGATCTGAACCATAAAAACGGCTTCCCTCTGTCCTACCTGGAGTTCTTCCCTGAACTCCAGACCTGTATATGTTGCTGCTTTTTCAACATCTGTTCTTAGAAATGTAATTGAAACTTAACATGTCCTTGATCTTTCTCTCCCAATCTGTACTTCTACAGTCTTGCTCATTTCAGTAAAATCAACTTTATTTTACTAGTTACTCAGGCCAAGAAGTCTTTGGTTATTCCTGTCTCCTACCACTCTTTCACCATCAGATGGTTTTAATTCAAATGAACTCATAGCCTTAAACTTTAATATATATCCACAATCTATTACTACACTGGACGAAGCTATCAGTATGTCTCACCTAGATTATTCTTCTACCTCCCTAAGTGGTCTAGCTTTCTACCTTTGACTCCTCATTCTACTCTCCACACTGCACTCAATGCTACTGTTAGAAAGTCTTAAACCTTCTTAAAGCCTTCTAATGGCTTTCTACTTCACTCAAAGTAGAAATTAGTCCTTAGGCTGGCCCATACTAATTTCCCATTACTTTTCTTCTTATTTTACTCTGCTCTGCCATACACACTCTTTCTGTGCTGTAAACACTCCAGGCACACTCAGCTTCACAACATCTTTCCTTGCTGTTCCTTGGAACATTGTTTCCCACATGCCTTCCTTCCTTACTTCCTACCCTGAGCAACCTTTCTAAAATTGCAACCAGTTCCAAACCCATCCACCTCATCCCCTTGTGACTAGAATGTAGGTTTCATGAAAAAGGGGTTTTTGGCCGGGCGCGGTGGCTCAAGCCTGTAATCCCAGCACTTTGGGAGGCTGAGGCGGGTGGATCACAAGGTCAAGATATCGAGACCATGCTGGTTAACATGGTGAAACCCCGTCTCTACTAAAGATACAGAAAATTAGCTGGGCATGGTGGCGCGTGCCTGTAATCCCAGCTACTCAGGAGGCTGAGGCAGGAGAATTGCCTGAACCCAGGAGGCGGAGGTTGCGGTGAGCCGAGATCGCGCAATTGCACTCCAGCCTGGGTAACGAGAGTGAAGCTCCGTCTCAAAAAAAAAAAAAAAGAAAAGAAAGAAAGAAAAAGGGGTTTTTGTCTGTTTTGTTCACTATTGCATACCAGACCCAAGTAGGGCCTAGCACATAAAAGGTGCTTAGTAAATATTTATTGGATAAATAAATGAATGCCAAATGAATCAAGAAATACTATCTCTAACTTAATGCTATCATCTCAAGGCTACCTGTAGAGAGTATTTCTATTCTTTATATTTGATGGCATCACTGGGACTTGCTTGATTAGTCTGGTTCCAAGAGCGGTTTCACATTTTTTCTTACACAATTTAGCAGAAGGGACATATACATTAACATGAAAACCTTGCAGCTAATGACCACAAATATATATAAAGTAACAACCTACAACAACCATTTACGAAGAATAGTTGAGAGAGAACTGAATTGGGGGTTAGGATATAATTTTAGGAGATATTGTCACTATAATTAGCTTACAATTTGACCTCTTCAGACCTTAGTTTCTTTATCTGCAAAAGCAAAGAACTGGATAATTCTTGTAATTATTACTTTACTGCTATTTGAAAAGTGGTTGTCCTGGAAAAGAGAAAAAGGAAGTACTTCCTTTGGCTTTCATGGTAGTCATGTTGGAACATATTGAAGGGGACAAGAAAAGCATTCCAAGTTCAGAACAAATTTTAATTTATGGACAAAATTGCAAATGCAAATTTGAAAATTCCCCATGGAAGTGGTGTTTTATTTCAGGTAAATGAAAGCACAGAGGTAGAAGAGAAGAGCAGAAGGAGCACTAAACTGCAATCAAGAGCCTTGGTTTCACCAAGAAACTCACTGTAGAACCACATGGAGGTCTCTTAACGAGTCTTGAGTCTCAGAGAACCCACCTACACAGTGAGAGGCTTAGTCCAGGCCAGTGGTTCCCAAATGCTGATCAAGGAAAGCAATAATTACTGAGCTCTAAAACACACCAGCAGAGAGTCTGACTCAGTGGCTGAACACATTTTATTTTTTAAACAAGCAACTCATCCAGTGTTGACATAGATGATTCGCAAAGCAGCATTTGGGAACCACTGGTATCAATGATCTTTAGTGTCCCAATCAGATACACTCTTTGTTTTATGACCTTGGATAGAACTGCACCTGAATTTCATGTGGTAAGCAACTCACTTCTCCGGCACCTCTAGCACATGGTTATCCAGTCTGCTTGAACAGTTCCAGCATTCGTGTAACTCTTTATCTATTCTACTGTGGGCCAGTTTTAATTGTTAGTTTTAACTTAATGCCAAAATCTGACTCAAAGAACATGATTCAGGTTCTACTTTCTGAAGAAACCAACAATGAGTCTTTTTTCTACTTTTACACAAAAGTCTTTAAAATATTAAAAAGACATAACATTTTCCGTTAGTTTTCTCTAGCTAAATACATGACTTTCTTCAAGTCCTTCACACAAAACAAGGTATCCTAATCACTGTGTTCCAAATATAATTTTAAAGTAATAATAAATTCAATTTTTGGCAATATCCTGTGGGTTTTAATCTTTTGTCGACTAGTGAATAAGATGTAAATAAAAGTAGGTTTGAGAACACGTACAATTTCTTTTTTTTTTGAGACGGAGTTTCTCTCTTGTTACCCAGGCTGGAGTGCAATGGTGAGATCTCGGCTCACTGCAACCTCCGCCTCCTGGGTTCAGGCAATTCTCCTGCCTCAGCCTCCTGAGTAGCTGGGATTACAGGCACGCACCACCATGCCCAGCTAAATTTTTGTATTTTTAGTAGAGATGGGGTTTCACCATGTTGACCAGGATGGTCTCGATCTCTTGACCTTGTGATCCACCCGCCTCAGCCTCCCAAAGTGCTGGGATTACAGGCTTGAGCCACCGTACCTGGCCATAGAACGTGTACAATTTCTAAGTGTTCCTATGAAACGTAATTAAATCTTTCAATGGAGAAGTTTTTCAATTTTTTATACCAAAACACATGAATTTTATACTTACCATTTTAAAATATTTTGAATGCAACAGATCTTTTCAAAGTACTAAATAGCTTAATTCAAATATGCTTTAATTAAAATAATGTAATTATTTAATTAGGTAGAAGTTCTGTATAAGGTTAAAGTTCTTCCATATTACTGTATCTTTGATCCTCATAGCAATATTGTGAAGCTAGTATTAACAGTCCCTTTTTAGATCTGAGAAAATTTCTGAGGTCCACTAAGATTATTTCTTAATCAAGAGAAGAAACTAACATTTATTGAGTCTCCAGTATATTTCCAAGTATAACTTTAAGCACAGGTACATGTTTTCTCCCATTTGACAACTTTTTAATGTTAACTGTTTTTACAGAGTGAAAGTAAAGGCAAGAATGGTTATATAATTTTTTTTTTTTTTTTTTTTTTTTTTTAGATGGAGTTTTGCTCTTGTTACCCAGACTGGAGTGCAATGGAGCGATCTCGGCTCACTGCAACCTCCGCCTCCTGGGTTCAGGCAATTCTCCTGCCTCAGCCTCCGGAGTAGCTGGGATTAGAAGCACGTGCCACCGTGCCCAGCTAATTTTTTGTATTTTTAGTAGAGACGGGGTTTCACCATGTTGACCAGGATGGTCTCGATCTGTTGACCTCGTGATCCACCTGCCTCAGCCTCCCAAAGTGCAAGGATTACAGGCTTGAGCCACCGCGCCCAGCCCTGGTTATATAATATTCATGAAATAGTTTTTAAGAGGCAATGTTAAATTTTGAACTAAAAGCTTGTCCTTCTAGGTCATTTGTGCTAATCTCAAGATGCTTCTGAATATAAATTTCTGTAAAAAATAATGTTTATGTAATTAATGTCTTTACCTAGTGAAAATTTCAAGTGGGAAACCATTTATTAGCACCCAAATGATATAAACAAACCAAAAAAATGACCCACTCGCTTCCCTAAATAAACAATCTGAAGCATCAATCTGACTGCCAAACGAAGTGGATCAATGGCTACTGAAAATTCAAATGATATAAAATTTCTATTTTTTGGTTTCTGTCTTTAATTTGCACTTCTATTTTCCAGTGGTATTCTGTTTCAGTCTTCTTTTATGCAAAATGGAATATCATTTGTTCAATTTATAAACAGAGTACAAAGTGCTTTGTCAAAATAGATGGAGCTGGAGCAGAACAGTAAGAGAATAAGCTCTTCCATACTTTTATTATGCAACAGAAAAGTCATCATGAAATGCCCCCACAGCATATTTGTAGAAATCATGCCTATTTAATTATCCCTCAACTATCTTACATAGGTCAACGCATGATTTCCCCCCTTTATTATGAAATTCTCTCTCTCTACAAGTTAGACATTAAAGCACTGTAAGCCTTTAGGCAAGTGAATCATTTCTAGTTACTCTGGTACCAGCCCTGAAAATAAAGGGCAATGTACAACGATGAGGCCTTGGGTGTGTCAGAGACAGATATGGTACTCAAAAGATGATGGTCCTGATCTGCCTGTCTAGTTGGCCTTTTGTTGCTACAGATTTCTTTGCTAAAGAATATTTATCTGAAAAAAAAACCAACTTATAGTACTATACCTGCAGGGTAATTCCACATGCTATTCCTGTTAACTAAGAACAAGTTTTCCCCACTGTACCTACAGTTAAGCTAGTCTAACATTATTTAGCTTATTGAATAAAGCTTTTTTTTTTTTTTTTGGTAACATTAACATTTCTGAAATTGGAATCCATCTAAAAAAATCTATGGTGTCTCAGATTTGATGAAATACAGTATGTAGTAACATTTGGACATTTTATTTAAAAAGCATGAGCTAGCTAAACAAGCAAATGTTGTACAATGGACTCTCTAAAATATCCTGACTAAATAAAGCTGAAATGCCTCTTCCTATCGCTCAATATTAGAGAGTCCCCTTAAAATTGAGAAATACCCTAGATAGCAAGCAAAGAATATTCAGGTATTCCGAAACACTGGAAAAAATGAGCCCTACCGCAGAAAAAAAAAAAAATCTCATTCTGAACTACCTTCTGATAAGAAATAAGCCTTTTCATATAAAATAAGCATTTTGGAGGGTATCTATGACAATAAAAGTATTGCTAACAGTGTACTTTTCATTTGTACTTGGTATTTTCTTATAAAAATGATATGAAATCAGCTCTACACTACTCTTAAGTGCTGTGTTGTTCACACTATACGCATGTGTCAGCATGGCAACATACACCTGTATTCCCATCTCTTTGGCTTAATCAGAGATGATAAAAATCTTTAAAGTATTTTTTAAGGCTATGTAAGTGTTCAAGTTTTATTTTCACCTCTTGATGGATACATTTTTTCTAAAAGATGGGACACAATTAAAAATTTAGAATTCTGAGGGCCTGCATAGGAAAATATAAAAATTAATGAACATTTTACATTTTTACAAACCATCATAAACCAGAAGAAAAATAACTCAGGGGGAGGGGTAGGAATAATCCTTGGGGAAAAGGTAAGTTTAACCAACAAATGTTTATGAAAACTTAAAATAAAAATTCTTTGTAACTGCAGTGGCTCATAACATTTTAATAACAATAAAATATAACTTTCACTCCTCTAACCTAGAGATTCTTTAGTACCAACGACATTTTGGGCTGTATAATTCTTTGGCATGGAGATTGTCCTTTACAGTACTTCTACTCACTAGATGCCAGCAGCATCCTGCCCACCCCCAACCCCTCAGTTATAAAAACAAAAAATGTCTTGAGACGCTTTTGTCTCATCCAGTGGAAAAACTAATCCCTGTTGAGGGCAAGGCTCAAATCTTTCAGTTACCAACCAAAAAAAGGTTTTCCTATTTTTTTTGGAAATCACCTGAAAGGTAGAAAACCATTTTTAAAATCTACTTAAAAGTAATACTGTCCCAAGTTAGTTTTCTAGCTACAGAAGAAAAATATAGGCACATTTATTTCACATTCATCTAGGCATTTAAAATATTAGGATTTATAAAGTGAACACCTTAAAAATATGAAACACTAAATAAAGTAGCATCTTTATTCCCTTATGCATTCATTAAATACCTAACCATTCATGCAGCCAGAGGTAGGGTAGTATATTTATTTTCCATTAGTATGGAGGCTAATATCAGATATCTTTGCTTTACATAATTTTTATTATTTATTATTTGCAACAAATAATTGAGTGAGTGCTTAATTCTTGCCAACTATTTTGCTTAACTCTTGAATTATATGCACTATCGTACTGGAAGAAGAGATAAGTCAATGTAATATTACTATCTTAGGTTAGAAAATTCATAATACTCAAGGTTTGGTTGTAACCACTCTTCCCTGTAAATGTCCAAATAATACAAATACTATCAAAATATAGTAATCAGAATTCAAGCACAGTAAGCCATATACAAGCATGGCACCGAAGAAAACAAGCTTTATTAATTCTAACTAGTATGGTTCTTAAATTACTCTTAAATGCCTAACTTACAAGCAATGCAGTTTAGAAAACGAGACAACCCAGAAACTCAAACATAAAGAAGAGGAAGAAAAGTCTTATTATTTTAAAAATAATTAAAAAAAAATGTCAGTGCACAGTTACACAAGTAAGTATTGGATTTTCTCAATTATGACACTCAAAAATTAAAATGAGTTCCCTTGTTTTTAACAGCATTTTAAAATTGAAATATACATAATATTCACCATTTTAAAGTGTACATTATAGTACTTCTCATTATATTCATATTGCTGTGCAACCATCACCATTATCCAATTCCAGAACACTTCTATCACCCCAAAAGGAAAACCTGTACCTATTAGCAGTTAGTCCTCCCCTCCTCCAACCATTAATCTACTTTCTGTCCCTATGGATTTGCCTATTCTGGATATTTTATATAAAAAGAATCAACATGTAGCCTTTTGTGTCTGGCTTCTTTCACTTGGCAGAATGATTTCAAGGTTCATCCACAGTATAGCATGTAAAAGTGCTCCTTCTTTTTTTACAGCTAAATAATCCCTTAATTTTTCTAGCAAGTAAGTGAAGCATTTTAAGTACTATGTTTAGATATGTCACCTGAAACATTTTCAGCCATTCCTGGAGGCCTGTAGGCGGCTGGACAGATGTAATTCGGCGTCGTTGTTGCCCTTGGCCATTGGCTGCTCTGAGGTCCCCAAAAGTTGTTGGTGTTGCTGAACATGGTACAAGCCCAGTGGTACTACAGAAAAGAAAGAAAGCAAGAGAGAGAAAGAGAAAGAGAGAGAGAGAAAACAAGAGTGAAAGCAAAGATAAATACTTATTAATAACAGATTCTAGTACAAAGAATAATGATTAGGCATATTTCAAACATCAATTCAATTACTTACCTTTCTCCCAGAGATCACAGGTACATAAAACCTACTTTGCTCTTCTTACAGCAAGTTTCGTCCCTCCTACATAACACCTGTTATTATCCCAGAAATGCTTATTGCAACCAAATAACAGAATCTCCATGAAAAAAACTGCAAGTTGTTAATATATACAAATAATGTTAAAATATTTCCTTAGAACATGCAAGTCCCACTTCTCCTATGACTGGCCTTCAGTGGCATTAAGTAAAAAAAAGTTTAAATTTTATTTATAAAATGGGTTGTGATACGTTATTAATGTTTTAAAAAACTCAGACAGAGAAATAGTGTGTTCAAATGTTTTGAATTTCAAGAGTCACATTAATTCTTTAAGTTTGCCCCAGATGCCATTTGTTCATACTCAATTTATAAACAGAGTACAAAGTGCTTTGTCAAAATAGATGGAACTGGAGCAGAACAGTAAGAGAACAAGCTCTCCCATACTGTTTATTATGCAACAGAAAAGTCATCATGAAATGCCCCCACAGCATATTTGTAGAAGTCATGCCAGTTTAATTATCCCTCAACTATCTTACATAGGTCAACTCATGATTTCCCCACAAATGGGGACCAACTAGATGATCTCTCTAGCATGGTCTAACTATTCTAAAAATGACTAATTAATAGCAGAAAGAATATAGATATATAATTATATTACAAATATATTAAACTTTCCTTTCTAATTTCTGCATGTAATTAAACTCAAGGTAAATACTGAATATCCATTTTAAAGACATTGGGGAAAAAAGCAGCAGGAAGATCTGGTTTAATGAAATTATATTTAAAAAGAAATCTTCACTCAATTCATTGCATCGTAATATTTAAGAATTAAACTGTGATAAATTACTAGTAAAATAACTCCCCCAGCTTTTTTTGTATGCAGCATTATTTTGTTAAAAAATTTGTCTCTATCACCAGATTTTACAAAAAAGTCTTATCTACCCCCTTTAAATCCTGCAATAGTAGAAATCTAAGAAAATCTCTAACATTCAACAATTAAATCTGTCTTTTCTTCTTTCAAATTTAAAGGGAAGTTCTATTTTCTTTTTCTCCAAAATAAAATAGCATGTGTTAATAACAAATTTTCTAAGAAAAAAAAAAATGTTGGAAAAAAAATCACAGTTTTATCTTATTAGCAAATGTTTAAAAAATATCACAAAACATCAAATATATACCTGCCTAACTGAGAGTCTACAAAAAAAATGGAAATAAATGTCGTTTAGTCTAATTTTGCTTTAATAAAATTATACATTAACAGGCTACAAGTAAAACGTGTGCCTTTTCAGTTGCTTTGTCAATATAAAAAGTGAGCAACTAAAGATAAATTTTACTAAAATTCGTTCTGTAATAAAAATTCAGCACTCATTTATTATAAGTTGCCTTAAAAACAACTGAACAATGTAATACCTTTGTCCCAGTATCAGCCATATTAATAAAAGACTGATACATTTTAAAAATAGCATTAACAGTTAATTGAACATTAAATGCAAATTTCTCATCCAAGATATACTTTATCATGACTAGAAGGGAAAAGCACAATGAAGTGAATAGTTTCACTTGTCTCTCTATCCCTCCACACCCTCTGGTGGAAGTGCCAAAACACAGTAAAACTGTCAAAAGGCAAAGAGTAACGGGAAGGGGGACAGTTAACATAAGAAAAATCACACAGAAAAGAAGCTCCTGAATAACTGAGAGATAGCTTTATTTTTCTCTTCTGTATAATCTCTTCACTTTTGAATGTAAGACTGTTCTAATTATTATGATTTTCAAATTTCATAAAAGAATGTTTGAAAGAAATATTTTCTACAACTGAAATAAAAAGCAATTTCCCTGTAAGAGATACAATCTGTAATAACGTTCCATAAAAAATTACATCTGAGCAATGTTAGTTTTATTGCATCTTATAGAATAAAAAATAACTAAATCAAAATATTTTGAGAGAAAGGAAGAAATGTCATAACCATGAAGTTCTTATGGTTTCTACTGTTAACTTTCAATCCCTTATTTTAAAAACTGGCAATTATACAAAAAAATCATTTTTAAAGACCGAAAAAAAAGCTCTAAGATACTTCTGTCATTTAAATTATAAAATACAACATTCCAAGTGACATTCAAAGCCATTTTTAATTGGCTGGGCAATAGACATTGTGCTTAAGTTAGCCTAATTAGTATGAGAGTGGGAAAAATTTTATACTGATATAAAATCCAAAAATGATGAACTGAAGTAGAAAAAGATTACAATTATATTTAGTTGTTACAGAAAACATTCTAACACATGTATAGAAATGCATGTGTTAAAAACTTAAGACCTACCAAGTAAAAGGAAATTTCTAATATTAATTTCATGAAATAAGATTTAGTTAGTAATTGTGAGTTTTATTTCACTGCTAATAAATGCATCTTCAAATTTCCACACACAAATGTCTACCCTGTAACAGTTGTTGCTATAGGAACAAAATACAGATGCTCATATTCATATTTTATGGTTTTCTTTTTAAAATTCCTTAAATTTTCTAATTTTAAATTTCTGTTCACAAGAGAATTTGTTTGTGTCATACTTCAAATGTATTAGTAACAAAACAAACTATAGTGGTAGTCCTCTTATTTGAAATGATATCGTTCTCAATTTCCAGTAATCTCAAAATGTGTTCAACAGTCAACCATACTACTAACACTATTATTCTGTAAGAATAAACTAAAACACTTTCAGAATCCACTCTAAAAAAGCGAGAATCATGAGATAATCAATCCTTACATTTAATATTACCTTGTATATTCTGAGACTTTGCATGGTTTCTTTCCCAAAGAAAAAGAGCGGACCTCAGAACCATGGTCCAACTTTCTTTTCATCTATAAGGTAAAACAAACAAGATATGTTTTTAAAAAATTATCTAACTATCAAATCTTGAGTCAGCATGGTTAATATTTTTAAATTCTTTAATTTTCATATGTCTACAATGGTAATTAAATATATAAAATAAATGTTTAATAGTTTCTTCTATTTGTTCTACTTTGTTTTACTCTGAATGGACTGGAAAGGTGAATTTTTTCCCCCTAATATTTTATCCAGAAGAACAGTGTGTGATGATTTGAAAACTGATATTCCACACACACACACACACACACACACACACTCTCTCTCTCTCTCTCTCTCTCTCTCTCTCTCTCTCTCTATCCTTGAGGTCATATGTCTTTCATGTTTTCCAATTTAATAACCAACATAGGGGAAAATCTCATGTTAATCCACACAGAATAGAATCATATTTAACAAGCCTTTCTCACAAATCTACATTTTTCTGTAAAAGCATGCTGTAATAAAGATAAACAAAATTCAAAATTTCAAAATCAGAAATAAGTATGAAAGTAACAAACTCAATTTTAAACATTCATACCATTATAAAAGGGTAAAGAGCAGTATAAATAATCCTGAATAGTGATAAGGCAAAGAGCAATTAATATGGGCCATAAGAATAGTTTTAAAAATAGTAAGAGAAATCTGGAGATAGTATAATAAAGCTGAGGGGAAAAGTCAACAATTGATATATATACAGAATATAGCTCTATTGACAGATACTCAGGATAAAACATTCTAACTTGAAACAACAGAAAGATTTTAAAAGAATGAGTTATGCCTCTCTATAAGGTGTATCCAAAATCTAAATTTTAAGGTGTTTATAATGCCATGCTATACTATAAATATGTTCAGAATTGTATTTTGTCAACATCAATATTGAAATATTTTTATATGACTATATGTATATTTTAAAACTAGAAAATAAAATCTGGTAAGATTCAACTTTTTCCATTTCAGCAACCCCTTTTTAAGATTTATGTCCACTAATTAATCACTGTATTACTCCAAGTTATAGGAGGAAAAATACTCCAGAGTGATGGAGAGCAATCCTCATGTGTATAAGAAGGTAAAAATCCTTGCTTTGAAGCAGTGTTATTTTCCTACCTCTTGCCTTACATAGGAACATCATAACATAGCATGATACAATATAAATACCAAAGAGACTAAAAATCTTTTGGAGCCACACTGAATAATAAAGACTATGTTTTTGTCATCATGAAGCGTTTTCTATAATACTGGAATGATCTTATGATATTAGGGGCTAGAGGTGAGGGTACAACAAGCTCATCTACAATTTATACCTTAGTTTATGACATACCTACTGGAAAGAAATGGAATTGGTCTCACTGGTTTCTTCCCTTTAGAAGTTTCTGTACTCATTACATTGTTTTAAAGTGATTCTTCTCAGAAACCATTATTTTCTTTCTCCAAATAATTTTATTAAAAAGCAAACAAATACAAAAGCTGAAGTATATAGGTAACCACGTGTTTCCATGTATATAATTTATAGATACATACATATACACATACATGCAAATGAATCCATTAGGAAGGTCAGTCAGTACAGACTATCTTAAAATCTAATTTTTTACAACTTCCACAAATTCTTATCATTAGGAGAAACTTTGATGTTTATTCTAATTAAGTTTGTAATACTGGCTTTCAGAACTTCCCAGGATATCTTGTAAAAAACATTGGTGCAAATACCATTTGCCACTAAAAGCAAACTTTATTTCCATCTTAGAAATCCTTCAATGAATAAACAGTCCAAAATGTGTATCAAGGAAACCACTGAGAAAGGATTTTAATAATATTTTATAAAGTAAAACACCTTCTGTATGACAGAAGTCTTTTAAATACTGTACTGTTTACTGAAAATACTGACTTCAGGACCAAAAATTAATTCTGCAATTTTTGAGGGGTACAGAAAGTAAACATGATCTCTTTAAATATAAATCCCAAATAGTCTCATGATTCTATACTTTAAAAGAGTCAACTAATGAAAAAAGAAAAACTATATATAAGGTATAGAAAAACTGAAGGCAGAAGGTTCACTAAAAGCCAACTAAGGATACAGTATTTCCAGGTCAGCATTTAATGGAACCACATTTCTAAAGTCTTAACATATTTTTAGTGAAAAATTCTCAGATTAAAATATACATTTTATCTTAAATCTAAAGCTTTTTCCAGCTCACAGTCTTTCCATTATTTGCTTACATTCATGATATAAAACAGAATACCAGACATCAAGCTACCCACCAAAATTAGAGGATACTGCAGCCATCTCTGATGATACAGATTTTCCTTCTCAGGCAGGCATACACACACAATCACACAGCATAGGAAGAAAACAGATTACTTACTTTGTAAAAAATCATTTTTAATGTGCCGTAGAAACCCATATTTTCTGTATTTTTCCCCTTCAGTGATTCTGTGCCCCCGTGTGTCCGGCTGCTTGGCAGTCTCTGACAATATAAACCTTTTTCAGGTAGGTATGTCACAGATTCTAATGTGGACATGCTCAGGCACGTCAGAAAAGGAAGATTAGGGAGCAGAACCGGCAACAAAACTCCACAGTAAAGGCAAATGCAGCTCAGTATCAAACCGCTTCTCGGGACACACATACATACATGCAGCTTGACTGAGGAGAACTCGAGGGAATAATGAGAGAGAACGGAGAAGATTATTGGAGGAGACTATGCCCTGTCAAAGCCTTGACTGAACAGATTCCTCCCTCAGCAGCAGAGGGATCAGATTACATCTTCCCTTGAACACAGAATGGTGCAGTCCAGGATTCAGCAATGCAGACTGCACATCAATTATATGGTGATCCGCTCCAGGGAACCCGTAAGCACACAACGCACTGAACAGAGGGAGGATGTGGGCAGCAAATGAGACCGCCCCCACACAACAGCCCCCTCTCCCCTTTCAAACTTTCAGGAGGTTATTTTCGTATTTTGTAAAACCTGCATTTTTGAAGAGTTTTATATAGCAAGGAACAGTTCCACAAATAAGTCTTTTCAGAAACATTTTGAAAATAGGATACATTTTCATACGGTCCCCCTAAACAGAGGCAAGGCATGCTATTTTCACTGTCTTCCTACAGTAGTCCTGGCACAGACTGATCAGATTTTTTAAGCAGCTTGGATGGTAGAAAACAGGCAATCCCAAAAAGAGAGATTAATATTCTTTGGGGTTCACTGACAATAAAGTAAACTGGTTTGGAGCTGATAACATCTGCAGAAATTATGTAATCTAAGGTACATTTCAATCTGTATATTTTGGTATTGATTTAATAAAAACATTCCCCATGCTTTTCCATTTCAATCGTTTAAAACATAGTAATTTTCAGGAAAATTGCCACATACTTCATCAATCCTTACTAATCATAAGAATATCTTTTTAAGGTTAACAAACTAGTACTACCTAAGTGTGTCAAGTTCGGCCAAAAGGCTATTTTGTCCCAAAAAAGAGAAAACACTGTGCTCACTGGAGAGGCTTGCCCTTATTTGCTAATTTAATCTGGAGTAAACAGGAGGCACTGGACTTCTATCTCCAAAATAATTTTGACAGTCTATATTGCTTATCATTAAAAAGGCATTTTACATAATAAAGGTGCCAAAGTTTGCCAAAAGGCAACATTTTTCCTGTAATGACTACTACACAAATCTAGATATTTCATCTTGCAACTTCCTTCACAACTAGCTTCAGGGGCAATTATAAGATTCCTTGAACTAGAAAAGCCCATTATTAAGGGCCTAGTTAATTAACTCCTACCCTCCCCATTAGCGTTCTTTATTACAAGTAAATTGTGTCTATAGTTATTAGAAGTATGTTTCTCCAGAAGAACAACACAAAACAACCATTTGGACTTACTAACATTTTAATACTCTCTGCTATGGTGGTAAATGACTTTCTTTAGTAAAATGATTCTAAATGCTGCATAAAGTAGTATCACAATTTTAAAAATAAAAATGTTTACCTTTATAACTAAGACATTATGTCAATGGAACATCTTTTACTTTAAAACATAAATGAAAATAAGATAATATAAAATTTTATGAAGATGTACATCTTGAGTCTTCTCTTGGAAATTATATTCTACTGTCCACTTTAAATCTCCTACCTGGCTCTTAAATTAATTCTTATTCTTGGGAATATGTGTATGTACCCAGCAGAAGTTAGTTATCTAAATAGTCTCACTTTGAAGGGAAGCCAAAAAAAAAAAGAAATTGACTTGTTAGGAATGGACCCATAAACCCTTTTGTTAGAAGTTCTGAGGACTCAAGATTTAGGCAAAGGGGAAAAAGTTGATTTTCCTCCATGTTCTGGGCTATCAGAACACCTGAAATTTCATCTAGAATTTGTCAGTGGTAACTAGTTTTTCATAAGACAAGTGGAATACTAGTGCTATAATAGTATATATTTTGGCGTCAACTAAAATCATGTTCTATTTCTACTTGAACTAACCTTTTCAAATTAAGTCTACTCAGTTAAGAAGAGACTAGCTTAAATGAAGTAGGGGATAGTGTCTCAAAACCTAAAGAAAATACCTCTTCACTTTGTACATTCAAGGGACTGCTCCCACGGTTACATGGCTCCTACTTAGGGCTATGAAGTTACAGGAAAATCTGTTCCCCACAAATACCGTTTATATGTGTGTATTACCCTGTAGATTCATATTTCATTACCAGGTTTGCACGGTCCAAACAGCAAAATGATATACAAAAAAAAGGCTACACTGAGAAGTCTTTCTACTACTACATATTCTCCATCTACCATGGTTCTTACTTGGGAATGATTTTTACTAATTTGTTTAAGTGAGAAACGCCTATGTTTATAAGTATTAATGAAGACCTTCTCTTTCCAAGTATTTACACAATTCTACCTAATATCTTATGATGTTAATTTGAACTGTGAAGAATTTGTCAAGCAAAGCTAGTCAACCAAGCCTCTAACTGAATTTCAAAGTAACAATAAAAATGATTTTCAACAT